AAAATTTATTTTGCCAAGGTTAAGGATGTGCCCATGACACAGCCTCGGAGGGTCTGTGTCAACAGGTGCCCCAGGTGGTCAGGGCACAGCCTGGTTTTATACATTTTAGGGAGGCATGAGACATCAATCCATATATGTCAGATGTACATTGGTTCAGTCCAGAAAGGAGAGACAACTCAAAGTGGGGAGGGGCATCAGGTCATAGGTAGATAGGAGACATTCTTTTGAGTTTCTGATTAGCCTTTTACTGAATCAAAGGAAGCAATCAAATATGTACTTAAGTGAGCAGAGGAATCACTTTGAGTTCTGTCTGTCCTTTGTCGAAAAGGAATTTCCTTGTGGGTAAATCGTGAGGGAGATATGTAGCTTTTTTTTTTCTTTTTAAATCTGGGGCTGGATGCAGTGGCTCACACCTATAATCCCAACACTTTAAGAGGCCAAGGTGGGCAGATCATTTGAGGTCAGGAATTTGAGACCAGCCTAGCCAACATGGTGAAACCCTAGCTCTACTAAAAATACAAAATATTAGCTGGGCATGGTGGCATATGCCTATAATCCCAGCTATTCGGGAAGCTGAGGTAGGAAAATTGCTTGAACCTGGGAGGCAGAGATTGCAGTGAGCTGAGATTACACCACTGCACTCCAGCCTGGGCAATAAAGTGAAACTCTATCTTAAAAAAAAAAAAAAATCTTTGTAGCTATTTTGTCCAGTGCAGTTCCCAACCTGACTTTTCCCTTTGGCTTAGTGATTTGGGGGTCCCAAGATTTATTTTCCTTTCACAAGGTTTAACCTGTGTGTGTAATTCTCTGCAGGCCCCTCAGGGAGAAATTTAGACTGGGGAATAGTGGTCAGAATTCAGTGCTCACAGTGGTCAGCATTTTCTGTCTGGGTAGGGGTCCTGGTTTCTAAGATACAACTCAGGAACCTACATTAAGACGTTTTCTTTAGTGTCTGTAGGGAACTGAACATTGTGTAACTCTATCTTATTTGGGTGACTATTACTTAAACTATTGTTACCTTCTCATTTAGCAGGTCTGAGGCTAGCAAGGTGCCTGGAATTTCCCTTGAAGGAACTTGAGGTTTTCTTTATTTCCATGCTTGAGGGGGCTGGCAGGCCCCTAAGAGTGTTCCTTGCTCTGTCCCAATGCCAGTTTATTATGGGGTGAAAAGAGGGAGTTAAGGACAGGAGGCAGGACCTACTGATGGTTCCAAAGCTGCCACAGGAGGAAGTGTGGATGTGCAGGTGAAAGAAGTCCACAGAACTCATCACAAGGTGAAGGTGCTCTCAGGCATCAGAACTGATTATCTGATGAAGTGAAGAAGAAGAAAGTCATACTGTTTTATAACAGGGAAACTTAGACAGGCAGGGAGCCATCATCCCCAGAAGTTTTCTTGTACTTGCTGGGCAGGGTGTCAGAGCCCTAGCAGTGGAAAGTGATTGGCCTGCAGGGAATAAGAATTTACCGACAACGGTATAGGTTTGAAAAGGAAAGTTTTATTAGATTGAGAGAAAGCTGCAGAAGAGTGCAGCGGGGCGCCTCAGCAGGAGGATGGAGCATGCCGGGGAGGATTTTCCTTAGGGGTGTTTATGGATCTTAAAGCAGGAGCTTAAGGGTAATTGGGACCATATTAGCCACATATGTCATGATAAATGATTATATTTGTAGACATTTTGGTGTCGTAACGTCAGCAAATTGTACAATGAGCTTCATCATGCATGCATCCCAGAGATGTATAGATATAGAGAAATTCCAGTTACATATAAATTTTGGGAAAAGAAGCCTGGACCGGCTTTAGATATAGGGAAGTCTAATTACTCCTAAACTCCTCAGATAAAGAGTTCTGCCTCTGGATGATCTGCTTCATGGCCACAAGGTGGTCTTCGCTCTCTTTAGTGGCCCCTCCCTCCTGGCCTCCTCATCTCCAGGCAATGTTTATGTCACTATAGATTCATTAGCATTCTGAGAATTTTATATAGGTGAGCCGGGCGCTGTGGCTCATGCCTGTAATCCCAGCAATTTAGGAGGCCGAGGCAGGCAGATCACGAGGTTAAGAAATCGAGACCATCCTGGCCAACATGGTGAAACCTCATCTCTACTAAAAAAATACAAAAATTAGCTGGGCATGGTGGCGCACACCTGTAGTCCCAGCTACTTGGGAGGCTGAGGCAGGAGAATTGCTTGAACCAGGAGGTGGAGGTTGCAGTGATTGCACCATTGCACTCCAGCCTGGCACCTGGCGACAGAGCAAGACTGTCTCAAAAAAAAAAAAAAAAAGAATTTTATATAAGTGAAATATACAGTAGTAGTATTCTTTTTTTTTAATCCTTGCTTTCATTCAGCATAATTATTTTGAGATTCGCTCATTTTTTTGGGATATCAATCATTTATTCCTTTTTCTTACCATTAAGTATTATCCCATTGTAGGGCTATATCATGATTTATTTATCTACTCACTTGTTGATGGACACTCATATGAGTCAGGGTTCTCCAGAGAAACAGAATCAATACATACACTCACATATAGACATACACACGGAGAATTATTTTAAGGAATTGGCTGACACAATTGTGGGGGCTGGCAAGTCTGAAATCTGCAGGAAAGTCTGGTAGGCAAAAGTTGATGTTACAATCTGGAGTTGAAGGCAGTCTGGAGGCAGAAGTCCTTTTTCTTTGGGGGAACTCAGTCTTACCTCCTAGGGCCTTCAACTGATTGGATGAGGCCATCCACATTAAGTAGGGTAATCTGCTTTCCTCGAAGTCAGTTGATTTCAGTATTAATCACATCTAAAAAGTACCTTCACAGCAACATCTCGGCTGGTGTTTGACCAAACAACTAGGCGCCATATGCTAGCCAAGTTGATGCATAAAATTAGCCATCACAGAGTTGTTCCTAGTTTTTGGCTATTATAAATAAAGCTGCTGTGCATATTTGTGTACAATTCTTTGTACTGAAGGAAATAAAAATATTTTACTCCAAGATCTACTTCTTTGACAGAGTTTGAAGTGGTGCTGCAAAGCTGTCTTTTCTGGGGGAACTGTGCATTGTGGAGAATCTCCATTAATACAGCCAGGCCTTCCCTGTCCAGATCTGGGAGAGAGTAATGGAGTCTGACACCCGTAAAGATCTGGAGGAAACACTTACCATCTATTTTCTGAGGGCTGCTATCTGTGAGATTTCATCTACATAACATGATCCCCTTTGCTAGCTGAGCCTCCTCTTCTTCCCCTCCCATATCCTGTCTTGCCACTAAAACCTGACTTACCACCATAAGCTTTGTTTTTGTTTTTATTTTAAGATGGAGTCTTGCTGTGTCACTCAGGCTGGAGTGCAATGGCGCAATCTTGGCTCACTGCCATCTCCGCCTTCAGAGTTCAAGCAATTCTCCTCCCTCAGCCTCTCGAATAGCTAAGACTACTGGTGTGTGCCAACATGCCTGGCTAATTTTTTGTATTTTAGTAGAGATGGGGTTTCACCATGTTGACCAGGCTGGTCTTCAATTCCTAACCTCAAGTGATCCATCCCCCTTGGCGTCCTGAAGTGCTGGGATTACAGGTGTGAGCCACTGCGCTCGGCCCCATAAGCTGCTTTTCTTGGCCATGTTCTGAGCCTGCATTGTTTCTGTGAACCCAAAATATCTGATAGGTCTCAACCAATTTAGAAAGTTTACTTTGTCAAGGTTAAGGATGTGCCTGTGACACAGCCTCAGGAGGTCCTGATGACCCGTGCCCAAAGTGGTCAGGGTACGGCTTGCTTTTATACATTTTAGAGGGATTATGAGACATCAATCAATATGTGTAAGATGTACATTGGTTTGGTCCAGGTAAGGCAGGACAACTCAAAGCAGGGGCTTCCAGGTCATAGGTAGAGAAGAGATAACGGTTGCATTCTTTTGAGTCCTTGATAAGCCTTTAACTAAATATACAATTTAGTCTGGCTCAGTTAATCTGCATTTTTACATAAACAATAGGGCAGAGGAAGCAATCAGATGTGTGTTTGTCTCAGGTGAGCGGAGGGATAACTTTCTGTCCAGCACCTGTGAAGATAAGCTTTTCCTTGTGGGCAAATTGTGCTTGGTAATTATCTTATTTAGGAAGTAAAATGGGAGACAGTTTTGCCTGCTGTATTTCTCAGCTTGACTTTTCCCTTGCTTAGTGATTTTGAGGTCCTGAGATTTATTTTCCTTTCATATTTCTGTGACCCTAAAATGGCATATTACGGTGGCTTATGCCTGTAATCCCAGCACTTTGGGAGGCCAAGGTGGGTGGATCACCTGAGGTCAGGAGTTTAAGACCAGCCTGGCCAACATGGTGAAACCCCATCTCTACTAAAAATGAAAAAATTAGCTGGGCATGGTGGCACACCAGTAATCCCAGCTACCTGTGAGGCTGAGGCAGGGGAATCACTGAGAAATGGAGGTTGCAGTGAGCTGAGATCACACCACTGCACTCCAGCCTGAGTGACAGAGCAAGACTCTGTCTTGGGGGGAAAAAAAAAAAAAAAGAAAGATGGCATATGACTGCTGTACCTCACTGTGGGGCTGGGTCTTTGTTCTGAGGGCTCGTATGTATACATATGAAACAAATGTGTGTGATTTAACTTCTGTTAATTAATCTGCCTCATGTCAGTGATTTTCACTGAACCTCCATGGGGCCAAGGGCTTTGGCCCCTACGGTATGGACACAGGGTTTCATTTCTCTTAGGGAAATACCTATGAGTGGAATGACTGGGTTATACATTTGTGGTATGTCTAACTAAAAGACTCCCTTCCAAACTGTTTTTCAAAGTGGTTGGACCATTTTACATTCCCACCAGCAGAGTGTGAGAGTTCTGATTGCTCTCATATCGTCGCCTGTCTTTTTTAATTGATATCATCTGTCTTTGTAATTTTAGACATTCTAATAGGTATGTAGTACTATCTAATCGTGATTTAAATTTGCATTTCACTGATGATAATGATGTGCCCCATCTTTAACACAACATTTCCCTTTACTTGCAGGTTATTTTGCTTTGCAAGTTGGAAAGGCAAGATTAAAATACAAAGTCACGCCCCCAGCCGTCACTGGATCACCAGAGTTTGAGAGAGTATTTCGGGCGCAGTAAGTAATGCTTCTTCCACCCTTCATGGCTCTGTGCCTGCCATAGAGATAGAATTCCTGATTAGGCGGAAAGGGTATGAAGAAGACTAACTTCATGTGCAACATCTAGTTATAACAAGTCACTCTTCACAGCCAGGACCCTTCTCAGAATCCATAAAGTTTAAAGGGTTTGGTGCACAATGTCTCTGCCCTCATCTATGACCAATTCAGCAGGGCATATTTACAGAAAAGGCTGGGATCTCAGGAGGGACTGCTGTGTCTCCCAAGCATGGTCGCTGGGTCAGAGAAGCCCCCTGGAGCCTTGTGAGAACGTAATAGTCTGAAGTTGGATTAGTTATGCTACAATTTTCTATTTTCATTCTTTCTTCCCTATTTCAAAACAGAGGTAGATCACTATTAATCTTCTGCTGGATTCTCCATGAACCATTTCTTAAAACCAGAAACCTGGAAGAATGAGAAAGCGTTCCAGCTCACATGGATGAGCCATGTTTTTGATCATCTTGTCCTCCTTGTTTTCTCAGACCCAGACAGAATGTTCCACCATAAACACTGTGAACTTGCCTGCTGCGAGATGCTGGGGCTTCCTTTATATTTCATCTCCCAAAATAGTTGCTTTAAAAAACATTTCATGCTTCACGACTGAGATGTCATTGGGTTCTTTTGTTAATATCTTGGGATTTTTCCTTCATGTTTATGAGTGAGCTTGGTCTGTACTTTGCCTTTCTTATATTGTTCTTGTCTCATTTTGATACAAATGAACCTAGTCTCAAATGAGTTGGAGGAAGCATCCTGTTCTATTTTCTCAGAGAATTTTAATAAGATGGGAAGAGTGTGTTCCTTCAAGGTTGTGTGGAACTTGCCTTAAAATAATCCAGGCCTGATGTTTTTCTTGTGGAAAATTTTTAAATTATAGGATTTGCATTCTTTAATGATTATTGGACTAGTCAGGCTTTTTATTACATCTTGAATCAATTTTGGCAGGCCATGGTCCTTGAGATGATAGTACTGGTCTCTTGATTACCCACTTGCTCCAAGGAGGGTTTTACAGACGACTCCCTAGGCTTGAAAGTGTGGGGTGAATACCACTGAGAGTACACAAGATAATTGTAAGAGGTGTGTAGACTTGCTTTTAAATAACATTGAACATGATGAGAAGTCATTCTCATTTCAATTATCTTTGAATCCTGATGGTTATGTCAAGTGGAAAGTATTGGTTTGGAGCCAGCATGTCCCACACCTCAAAATTAATGTTTATTTTTATCAGAGTAATACATGTACGTGATCTGAAAATAAAGTGGGATTACAGGTTTTTATGACAATAAATAACTCTTCCTTGTCCCTACTTCCTCTCACCCTCTGGCTATCCCTAGAAATAACCCCTTTTGACTACTACTATGGGTATTTACTTCTGTATTTCTAAACATTATACTTTCACTGTTTATTGATTCACAAATTTTAGACATTGTCAGCTGGCCTCTTTTTATGGAGGAAAAAATTTCATGCTCCTTCCTCCTTTCCTTACCTGATCCTTTCAGTTACATTATACTCTGTTGAAGTAAATCAGTAGCCAATGTTCATATTATTGTGATTAAGTAAATAATGTTGAAAGCAGAGCCAAATAGTATACGGTGGTTACATTTCCTTTCTGTGCCATTTTTTCCCCTAGGGTTAATAATTGTCTCTATTTCTTTGCTTACTTAGTTTTATTCCTAAATCTTCTGCAGAACAGAAATCTCCTTCTGTTAAATTCAAATGCATCAGATAATCTAGTAATATGTTTTTCTGTCTTGGAGTCATTTCTGCCTGAGTTCTCCTGTTTTCGCTCCGAGCTGCGGGATACTCTTGGCGCTGGTTGCACAGCTGCTATCCTGGGGCTTGGTTACACATGTTTCTTTCTTTCTTTTTTTTTTTTTTTTTGCCAATCAGTTTGAGCTTATAAGGTTGCTCAGGTTAGCCTTGAACTCATGACCTCGCCTTCGCAAGCGCCATGACCTCCGGCCGGAGCCACTTTGGACCCCTCTTTTTTTTTTTTTCTTGAGATGGAGTTTCGCTTTTGTTGCCCAGGCCGGAGTGCAATGGTGCAATCTCGGCTCACTGCAAGCTTCGCCTCCCGGGTTCAAGCGATCCTCCTGCCTCAGCCTCCCAAGTAGCTGGGATTACAGGTGCCCACCACCATGCCCAGCTAATTTTTTGTATTTTTAGTACAGATGGGGTTTCACTGTGTTGGCCAGGCTGGTCTCGAACTCCTGACCTCAGGTGATCCACCTGCCTCAGCCTCCCAAAGTGCTGGGATTATAGGCGTGAGCAACCGTGCCGGGCTCACACATACATTTCTATATTTAAAATTCTTACCCTCAGAGTTTTGAAAAAATTTGTTCCATGACTTCCTAGTTTCTGTTGATGTTGTTGAGATGTTCTGTGCTATTCTGATTCTGGACCTTTTGTTTGGAAGCTACGGAAACTTCAGGATCTTGCCTGAAGATGTTAATGGCATTGTGCTTGCTAAGAGGTTTTCTTCACTGCGCTCAACCCTAGGTGAGGCTTTCACAGCCTGAAAACTCATGTCCTTCTGTTTTAGAATTTTTTTGGTTTTGAGACAGGTTCTCACTCTCTTGCCCTGGGTAGAGTGCAATGGCAGGATCTTGACCTGCCAGGCTCAGGCAATCCTCCTACCTCTGTCTCCCGAGTAGCCAGGACTACAGGGCCATGCTACGATGCTCTGCTAATATTTGTATTTTTTGGTAGAGATGAGGTTTCACCATGTTGCCCAGGCTGGTCTCCAACTCCTGAGCTCAAGCAATCTGCCAACCCTGGCCTCCCAAAGTGCTGGGACTAGAGGTGTGAGCCACTACTCCTGGCCCAGGATATTTTTAAATATTATTTTCCCCCCAAATTTCCTCTCCTTCAGTTCTCGATTCTTTTATTCTTAAAACATATACTAGTTGTGTGTGAACTTCTAGGACGGATCCTCTAGTTTTCTTTCATCTTCAGGTTTTTATATTTTTGGATTTTTGTTCTTTCACAGGAATTTCCTCAACTTCTAACTTTTTACTGAAATTTCAGATGTCATAATTTTAATTTCCAATAACATATTTTATTCTCTATTTTTTTTAGTTGTTGGTGCTGATGTTAAACCATCACTTTTTAAATTTCAATGATGCAGTTTATTCTCTTATATTTGAGGATTTTAATTATAATTTAAAAAATTCTCTGTCACATTTCTCTTCCTTCCAAGTGCCTTCTTGCCTATTTTGGCCTTTGTCTTTCATCTGTATTTATTATTTACCCATTAAGTATTTGCCAAGCACCTCCATGTACTGGGCGTTGTTGTAATAGCTTGGCCTAGATCCATGAACAAATCCAACAAAAATCCTTTCCCTCTTGGAGTTTACTGAGGAAGCCAGAAAATAAATAAACAATAAACAGATGATATTATAAGCAAATAATGTAAGCTGGGGATGGTAGCTCACATCTGTAATCCCAGGGACTCAGAAGGCTCAGGCAGGGAGGACTGCTTAAGGGCAGGAGTTCAAAAGCAGCCTGGGCAACACAGCAAGACCCCCTCTCTGTATTAAAATTCTTTTTTAAATTAGGCACCTGTGGTGGTGCATACCTAGCTACTTGGGAGGCTGAAGTGGGAGGATTGGTTGAGCCTAGGAGTTCAAGGCTTGAGTGAGCCATGATCATGCCACTATACTCCAGCCTGGGCAACAGAAAAAGACCCCAACTCAAAAAAAAAAAAAAAAAAGAGAAAATCATATACTGTCTTAGAAGGTAATTAGTGCCAAAAAAAAGAAAAGAAAAGACAAAGGATAGCATTGTAAGAGGGTATGGGTGGGTTCCTGGCAGGGGGTGAGTTGTGTGGTCTGTGGTGTACAATATGGCCATGGGTGTAGGTCCCATTGAGAAGGTGGCATTTGTGAACATGTAGAGAAAGAGCTCTTGGATCAGAAAGAATAGTCAGGGAGAATCTCCTAACTGGAGATATGCCTAGTAGGTTAGTCAGGAGGTCAGGGGACTGCAGAGGAGGAGCCTAGCAGGGAGTAGGAGGACAAGTCAGAGAGGTTATGGATGGCTGGGTCACACTGGGCCTTAAAGACCACTGTAGGGGACTTTGGCTTTTTCTCTGAGTGAAATGGAAAGTCATGACAGGGTTTTAAGCAAAAGAGTAACGTGATCTTCCATTTTAAAAGGATAACCCTGTCTGCTTTGCTGAGAAGAGTCTGAATGGAGGCATTGGGAGGAGCAGAAAATTCATTTAGAAAGCTATAGCAACAATCCCGGCAAGAAATGATGATGGCTGTATGGCAGAATTTTTGCCCCTTAGCTCAGCTAGAACTGGGTTCTCGTCACGTGGCCAGGAAAGGTTAGGTGCGTGGACACATTGAAGGGTGAGTAGAGTAGAATTTATTGGATGTTAAAAAAAAAAAAAAAAACCTCTCAGGAAAGCGGGAGGGGATCCTACTCACACATTGATTCCAGGTCACCACCACGAGCTGAAGAGACCAGGCTCTTCCCCGTGCACAAGGTGAGAACTTCCATGGCTCCATCCCATTCCCCCAGTGCACTTGTGGGGATTATTCAGAAAGAATCAGTGGGGAAAGGGCAGGCAAACAGGGGCCGTTCTCTCTCAGGGTGGTGGGTTTCATCCGGCCTTCCAGCCTTCTGGCTGTTTTAGACTTGAGGGTCTGGTTTCACCAGGGACCCTTGGCTGTCTCCTGTCTCTGTCATCTAGAGCCAGGAAGATAGCTGTGAAATGATGGGAAGTGGTCAGGCTCTGGATATACTCTGAGGGTAGAGCTAGTAGAATTTTTTGACATAATGAATGTGAAGTGTGAGAACAGTCAAGAATGACACTTGGATTATTGGCCTGAGCATCTATCCCAAAGGATGGCGATGCGATGATCTGAGATGGAGAAGGCTGCAGGGGAAGCACTTTTGGGGAAGCATTAGGAGGTTGATTCTTGACTTACTGTGTCTGAGATGTGACGTAAACCACC